TCTCTGTCTCTGTCTGTCTCTGTCTCTGTCTGTCTCTGTCTCTGTCTCTGTCTCTGTCTGTCTCTGTCTGTCTCTGTCTGTCTGTGTCTGTCTCTGTCTGTCTCTGTCTGTCTCTGTCTGTCTCTCTCTGTCTGTGTCTCTCTCTCTCTCTCTCATACAAAGCCGGACACATTTCCCGTGTCACGTGCCAGTTGATGTATATAGTTAGTTTAGTGCCACATGAATAGTGGTCGAGCACAACGGTCGTCACATGAGGCATGAGGTGTGTTTTTGTAGTCACCCACCTGGTCATGGCATGAGAGGCTTCACTGAGTTTCATTGAGGGCCCGTGGTTCAAAACTTCCATCCACCCTGCAGGTCACTGCAGGTCACTACAGGCCATGTTTCGTGAGATTGCGAGGTATCGGATGGATTTGACGGGTATCGTGGTCTTGATCGCTGCCTCGTGCGCCGGCCTTGGGACATGTTGCACGAGATGTTTTTCACCGTGTTTGGGTTCCAGTGTGGACTGCGAGGGTCCAAAAGACCGCGCCACATGGTGGAATGAATTGGTGACTCCCCAACAAAGATGGATTAGCAGGATGTACATGGGGGAAGGTTTTCTTCCATAGAAAAAGCAACGCAAGAATCAAACGGGTGCACTCCATGCCAACCAACGCGTGGAAGGCATCATTTGATTCTCACATGAACGGTGGGCGTTATTTTTTAGTTGTGTGTTCATGTCAGGAATGGTTTGGTTGAATCAAGCAGCTCATGTGTTCCGCTGACACGATCGGACTCTGGCTGGTCCAGAGCTCCCAGACCACCCTCCGCCGCGGCCTGGGTGAATTCCTCCCGTCCCGTGCCACGCCCTCGGCAACTTGAAAAATAACGAACTTATAATTGTAGTGATTGTTTCTTTTGTTTTGGAACTTCTGAGTGATTCTCATTCCAGGTACTTCGCTGGTATAGCCCGGTGGCCCAAACGGTGGCAAGCATTGACCTTCATGCGTCTAGGTGATCTATCCGAACATCAACAGACCACTGCTTGTTTGGGGAAGATCGAGATCTTCCTGTCCCTTTCTGCTCTGATTCCGCTGCCAAAAATATAGAGTAATATAGACAATTCATGCTGGCTTCGTACCAAGCTCTCAACCCCCGAAGCTTGTCATCCTTTTCGCGAATCGAACTGGATCTAGCCGAGTGCGTCCACCGGCTTCAGCCGTACGGTTGTACGACCAGCCCCCGGTCAGTCGTCCGAAAGGGAAGCTTCCCAAACTCTCGGATCGCAAACTCTCATCCCTAGTAGCTTCTTGTTACTACTAAGGCACCTGTTACTACTAGCGTGGCGCTTGTTACTAGTAGCGTCCTTGCTCCTAGCGTTCGGGAGGATCGGATCCGAATAAAGATCTCACCGAAGCGGTCGCCGAAACGGTCGGAGACACGGGAGTTGGCCCTCCGACCCTTTTTTCGGAGTTGGCCCTCCAATCGACCCGACACGGAGACGTGCTATCGCAGCGAGCGACGTGGCGAGGCCTTGGGTTTTCGATGCTATCCAGCTGGAAAGCTGAGATGATAGGGGCGGCGAATGGAGAGGGGAGAAACACCGGTGAGGAAGGAAGTGCAAAACGGAGATTCTTTTTGCTGTGATGATTTCATTGTAGAGTCTCCGTTGAATATCACCCCGACCTGTGATTGACCTTGAGATATCACTGAGACGGTGTTCTGGGCTTTTGACCTTGGCACCAAGTAACAGAGTTGACGAGTTGACACCGCTCCGCGAGAATCGGTGATTTCCGCTCCGCAAGCATCGGTGACCTTCGATTCTGCGGGATTTCCAGAACAGTCGAGAAGCTGATCCGAGAGAGAAACTTCTTTACTTCATCAGGGCACGTGCCTCGTTGAGAGAGCCGATAGCCTCAACTCTTACTCCCAACAAGAATTCGCAGCAACATCGCACGACTGGTGTTGCCACAATCTTTTTCGCCAACAGCTCAAGACGGTCTGAAACCTTGGTGGGCCAAACAGGCCTCTCTGCAGTGCCCAGGCGCTGCGGAGTTTCTACTTGGTGTATGCTGCGCTGGTCTCCTTAGCCCTGGCTGTGCCCGCCTGACAGGTTTAGCATGTCGAGTCGTAGGTGTTTTGAATGCAACACAGTGATGTTGGTGGATGCTGCGAGCATGGGCAAATGTCTAAGAGGACATGAATATGCCGGAGATGATTCCCTTGTATCGTGAACCATGTTTCTGCAGATGGAAGGCTTGCAGTGACCTAACGTATGGCTTGCAGTGCTTGCAGACGCGTTTTGGAGCTTTTAGGAAGGAGAGCGGCCGGCGGTGACAGTGCACAATTGACGACTCTCAGATCGCTCAAGGCACCAAAGTTGTGCCACGTCATCATCAAAATTCATGGAAATCAGCCCTTGTAGTCTTGGCAAGTATCTGAATGCAAAAGTCATGTTTCAAGACCACTTGGACTTGACTCGAAGGTCGTTGCTGGAGATAAAGCAGCTGTAGTGGGGATCTCAATGAATTCGGCCTTCTTTGTGTACTTACGCGTGCTCGCCAGAAGAGAGTTCACCTGGGTATAGGTCTGGGAATGTTGAAGTGACAGTAAACTACCCTGCGGCGCGAGCACACCTTCGGGTAAAGCCATCAGACCATCATTTTGGATCTCTGATCTCCATCTCTCTTGCTTCATCGAAAACCCGATGTCACAGCCACTTCCCCGAAAGCCGCCGAACCACCGGCCCTCCACGCCCACCGCGCCACGCCATGCTGAGCCTGGCCGCTGCCCAGACGGCCCCACCGCCTCGCCGCCCCAGCGGACGCCCGGCCGAGCGAAGAGTGCCCCGCGATGGTCGCCGACCGCGGCTGCACCGGCGGAGTTGGGCGGCCGCGACGGCTGCGGTGTTGGGCTTGAGCTCCAAAAGTTGCAGGGCCAAGAAAGTCGCAGATTGGCGGCAAGGGTTGAGCGTTGGGATGCGTTCATTTGGCCGAGATGAAGCAGTAGACAGAATTTGTGTTGGAGGAGGTTTAAGCACCAATAGTCCAATTGTGCAGAATCACTGTCATTGCCAGAGATCTCTACCCTCAGGCGAAGCTTGAGCAAGCATGTGAACCAACTTCTCTAAGATATTGTTCCCAGTTGGGGTTCTTACTTCAAGTGTAGGAAGAGGTGCCTGTGTGCGCTTTGGAACCTGGGTGCTGGTGCTGCTGCAGGGTCTTGGTGCCACTGCCAGACGTGTGGCCGTGTGTGCTTTGGAGCTTGCGTGCTGCTGCTGCTGCACCTTCCGCTGCAGGGTGCATAAACATAGCAGTTTGGAGACGGTCAGCTTCAAACAGGTCATCCTGCGTATTCCTGCGTCATAGGCTCATAGAGGATAAGACAGACAAGACATATTGACATATTGAATGCATTTTACCCCAAGGTTGCAAGAACTGTTGGGGTTCCTGGTGCCTGTGTGTTGGCGTGGCTGCCAGATGTGCATGGTCCGTGTGTGCTTTGGAGCTCGGGTGCTGGTGCTGCTGCAGGGGGCCGGTGCAGGGTGTTGCTGCCAGATGTCCCTGTGACCTGGGTGCCGCTGCAAGGTGCCGGCCAAATGTTTGTGCCCTGTGGGCTTTGGAGCTTGGGTGCTGGTGGTAATGCAAGGTGCCCTTGCGGGGTTGCTGCCAGATGTCTATGGCAGCCTGAGCTTTGGAGCCTGCGTGTTGGTTTTTTTGCTGCAGGCCCGGTGCAGGGTGCTGCTGCCAATTGTTTACGGCAGTGCGCGGTGTGTCATGCTGCACGCAAGTATCTTGTGCTATCTGGGGTCCATGCTAGCGTAATTTTTTCTTGCGCCAAAGATCTAGGTGCGTCCAATGTGCTTGCCCCGCTCTTGGGAGCAGCGAGCCAGTTTTGTTCGCTTCCGTTTCTCCGACCCGGACCGCCCACACCGATATCTCCGACCGCTGACGAAATCCGCGAGGTGAAGATCCACAGCGTGGATGAGCGCGAAGTGGAAGTTCCCAAAGCGAACCCGGAGAGTCTGATGGCTCACTCCTTGGAGAAGTTCTCCTATCCTGCACGATGGCCGTCAGAGCCTCAGTTTTTACATGTTTTTACTTTTCGTCTGAGGAGTGGACGTGGAGTGGACGTGAGCAAACAGGCGGACAGGTGTCAATCGAAAAATCAGAGGTTGAAACTACTGTAGGTTTGGACTTGAGGAAGGTGCAGTGGTGCCTAGGTGGAGATGGATCGTGTGACCAAGGTCCCGTCTGACGTCTCTTCTCACAGTCCTAAACAGGTCTCAGCAGTTGAAATACTTGCTCAACGGGGTGCGTTCAGATCTACTCCACACTCCACACTCCACACACTCCGCACACCAGACAACCGGTGCCAAGCAAGTACACCGATGACGAGGTACACCGAGCAGGACTTCTTCCGCTTGGACCGCTCCGATGATGCGGAGTTCTACGCCGAGCCGAGGCGGGCGCGTACACGCGCCCGTCGGCGTCAATGAAAGGTCGGTTCGGACATACTCAGTGGTCATGGGAGAGGAGTCATACTTGTTCAGGGGTTGAGACGAGACGAAGGCTTTTTGACCCTTACTGAAAGGTAGATTGATTGAACCAGGTTCCAGGGTGGGCGATCACAGAGTCACGCAATGCTGAAGGCACCTGGACGTCACACGGACGTCTGGGATGGCAGTGGAGTCACGGAACCCGCGGACCCCTGCCATGTCCCAGTGCAGTGGCTGTGGGAGTGGGTCACGTGACACCGAGAGGCCGGGGGGTGCCGGTGAGATCCTAAGAGCACCAACAACAGCAAGATCATCTCGTTGACGCTTCTCCTGCTTCTCCTACTGTGTGTTTCTTGTCGTGTTCTCCCAGGAAAAAATTGCACATCTGAAACGAACGGCTGTTCGCTTTGCCTTTTAGACACAAGAAGGGCCTGGCTTTGAGGGCACGTGTTACCCCCAGTTCCCGAGCAGACCACCAATCAAAGAAGTCCATCCAAAGAACCGGCCATCCGGTTTCTGTGTTCGTGCTGCCCATTCGGCACTGCCTTGTTCTTTCGCACTGTGCCGTCAGATTTGTGAAGCACTTGGACGAGAATACCTTGAAGGCCTTGACGGACTTCTACTCGGTGGTCTTCCCTGATAGACCCTTCACAGCGCTGGACATTTGCTCCTCTTGGATCTCTCACTATCCACAGCAGCCGAAGCCGACCAGGTGAATTGTAGGGTGCTGGCGGTGACACGGTGACGACGGCGTGGGTGGGTGTGGTGGTTTCTTCTGACATTCAGGAGAAGGTATGCTTCTTCTTTCGTTTTCTTCCCTCGTGATTGTTTTGGGGTATTTCGTCCTGGATATTATATACACATATACTTGTAGGGGCACACTGGTCTTCATGAACACATTTGCCCTTCTGCAAAACTTGTGTACCAGGGCTCACAATGAGACGCATCTGAGACACGACAGTGCTTGTGACCAGCAAAAAAGGATGCAGCATCCGTGTCTCATTGACAAACATTTGGTTGATCACCGTGTGACTCGAAAACAGTCCAAGTGTATCCGTTACAGTCGATCCACATGATGCAGGACCATTTGTCTGACTTTATCGTCATGAGAATCCCCTTTGCCTCCAGGTCTTGCTACCGATGGATCGGACCCTGCGGTCGTTCAGGGATGTTGATGTGGATCAAATCGATCGAAGGGATGTGGATGCGACATCGCCCTTCCCCTGCGGAAAGACGGGGGATTCTTCCGGATTGCTTGGAGCGTTTGGACCCTTGGTCCCAGGCTGGCGATCACCGGAATGAATGCAGAGGAGTTGATGCTGGGCCGAGAACAGTGGGTCAAGCCGAGCTGGTCCGGTCGACCTGATCTGGCCGAGAAAAACCAAGAAAGCGATCCTCGGGGGACGTCTTGAGCCACATGGAAGCGTGAGCATCCATCCTTCTTTTTCGCCCCGAACACCCGGATGGGTTTGAACACGTGTTTTAGATGTTCAACACCAGGTGGTGATCCGGAACCCGCGCGTTGGGCCCGAAGTCCTGTGACCCCAGGACGTCACCACTGTCTGAGGAAAAGCAACGTCTCGGCCTCTGATTGGACGGTCCAGGATTTGAACCTGGACCCCCGGCTGCCTTACAAAGATGCAGAGCACCTCGGCCGGGCCAGAGGCCTCCTACCATCGTGGAACAGATGCCCAGAGCAGAGCATGAAGATCTTTACTGGCCTCCTTGGGTGGGGTCTGTTCCGCTAAATCCTGGAGTCCTCATGTTGGAGCACTCCAAGACCTGTCAAGTCCGTTGTGGATTTTGTATCGGGCCTCATAATTTCGGGAGAACTTGGACTGACGGAACATTAGCCAGAGTGTTCTTATTCTATTTTTGTATGATACCTAGCGCTTCCAAGGGGTGCCCAATGGAGACCTGTAAGTCGTGTGGAGATATCCAGCCAGGTGACCCCCTTGGAAGCAGCTGGTATCTCTTTCTGTTTGGTACCTCCCAACAAAAAGAAACACTGGAACCTCAGCACCCCTGGCCGAAATGGCCGGCCGCAAGGATCTGTTCTCGACTGGTCCGGGTGGGGCGCGCTCTGCTCGGTGGCCATCGCTACTAAGGGAGGCCACTACTAGGAAGAAGAAGAAGCTACTAGATAGTAACAAGGGCACGTGGAAGAAAGGGGGAAAACATGGCCACACCATGGGACTGGGAAGAACGACGCTTCACGGAAAGGAAGGACGGTGGAAAGCTCCATGGTTCTGTGGATTCTTTTGCCCGGAGACGCGGGGCCATGTTTCTGTGCCGCTTAAAACTGCTCCCTTGGGCGTTTCGGAGGGTGATGCTTCTGATGTCCGGAACACCAGCCCGGACCGACCTGGCGTCGATCGAGGTTCGATGTGGTCACCAACGTGGTCTCGGTGGACTATCTGACGAAGCCGTTGCAGGTCTTTCAGGAGGTTGGACGAGTGCTTCGACCAGGCCGAGGGAGCCACCGCCACCGCCGATCTCGGGCTGTGAAACGGCTGGGGAATGAAACTCATGGCGGGCGGAGCGGCGGAGCGCGCTTGGGTGAAGAGAGATACACATGGGTCCCTACTTTAATGCACTCCCATGCACATGTCATGCATATTTGGGATCCGGGATGATGTTTCATATATGGACACCCGTTCATCAGCAAGACTTTGTACCTACAACTCTCGGAATTCGACCTTCGGTTACTATGCTTTTCGGTTTGGTTCTTCTCGTCTCCCCAAGCCAAACACCCTTTTTGACCGACACCAAGAGGTGTCTATTTTCCATAGCCTCACCAAGAGGTTCAGGACGGTTGGTTGGGGTGTCCAAAAGCCACCTGGAAGGTCCTGGACGATGTTTTATGTTACATGGTTCCTTGATTGTCCTTGCCAGGAAGACTATGATGACTCTGCCTGTGCTGCAGCTGGCATTGGCCCAAATTTGTTTTGAACGCCAGGCGGCTTTCCTTTTCTGCCTTACTCACCACTCCCCATGGCTGCAGATGTCCCAGGATCGACTCCACAGACCATTGACGTGGCGGCTCAGGGTTGTTGCTGCAAGCAGCATTTCTCGGACGACTTCCCAAGCCAGCTTGAAGGAATCATGTCTCCTGAAGCCTACCGCCGCGTCATCGCGGAGCAGACCAAGCACCAGCGTGCTTTCTGGGGTCCGGATACGTGGATCCTCACCCCCTTGACCGCTGGCATCTATCTGGGCGTCAAAAGCTGCTGGCACGTCAAAAAGATGAATAAGCTCTTGGAGCAACATCCCGACATTCCACATGACAAAGTGAAGATCAGATATGCCAACAGAAGCTCTGGCGAGACTTCTGAAGATTTCCTCACCATCACGATTTTGGCATGCCAGAATGACTGAAAAGCGTGACTGGCCTGTTCGGGCCTCCAGGTGTCGCCGTGTTTCACACCTCCAGGTGTCGCCGTGTTTCACACTGTCTCAAAAGCTGCCTGAAGGGCGGCAGGGCAGGATGGCCTGGAGAGATCGCGCTAAGAAAATGGGTCGTTTTTTTCCATGTCCTAAGACACTTACACCCGGTGCTGGAGACCCACATGGAATCGCTGATGGACCTGGGTGGAGGACGACGATGTTCCTCTACAAACCGTTTGGTGGTGTTTTCAGGTTCCATGTGACTTTTCCAGGGTGTATTGATTGAAGGATTTGACGGTCATGCGACTTTGGGGGGACACGACTTACTGATGAGGGAACTCCTGATGCAAGTTCTGAAGAGCTGGTATTTCAGCACCTCCTTCTTTAAATGAATCGATATACTATTACAATGTTTTTTCCCTAAGATGTTGGACAGATAATCCTCCAGAGCTCATGGCACATGTTTTAAGAGGTGTCCGGTGTCATTTCAGGGTTTATCCGCCCCCGCGAGGAGGGCTGGCCATCGTGGCCTTCTCCAACCGGTGCTTCCTCTCCAAGCTGGCTCCTGGGACGGGCACCGGTTCTCCACCTTGGGGTGGACCGCCGGGCCGTTTGCTCGCAAACCTTGGGGTCCCTGAAAAAGTTCAGTAGAACATACTTCTTGGTGGATGGCGTGCCTTGGGATGGCGCCTCCCCAGCTTTTATGGGCAGCGAAGAGGATTTGCATGGATTTGCCTCGATGATCTATATCTATATATAATTATGTCAATTATGTCTTATGACAAATTCCCTGTTTCTGTCATTGAGGGTGCAAAAAGTGTGTAAAAGGGCTGGTTTACTGCCCACACCAACATATTGCTTCTTGTCGTTGATGCATTCGTTGGTCCCTGGAGGTCCTGGAGGTCGGCTGTGTCGCCACTTCCCTGGCTGCCAAGATGGGGTCAACAGGTAGGACTTGTTGATCAAAGCTTATTCCACCCGAGTGAGGTCTTTTTGTCAAGTTGAACTAAAAGCGCCTTTGACATCAACTCCGCGCTCCCAGGTGAAGATAGCTTTTGCGTTTGCTCTTTCATGCTCCAGGTGTCTCATTTGACAGTGACCGGTCCGGCATGTTGGATGGTCCATGTTGGCGCACACAGGCTAGCAGAAGCCAGAGAAGTCGACCAACCGAAGTTTCAACGCTTCGACAATTCACCAAAGCGTCGACCCCAAGAACCTGACCATCCTTCACCACCGCGTCGGAAGAACCGAAAAGAGAACCACTTTGTCTCACAAAGAGCGTTTCTGCGCTCGGTCCGTGTGACACCAAAGGAGAGGCCAGCACAAGTTCAGCTGGCACACTTCGCATGGGAAGTGCTCCACTCCACCTGCCTGGCAACGCCAAGAAGACAACGGACATGTTACACGGTGGACCCGCAAAGCCAACTGCTCCAGCTGTTCACGAGACACCAAAATGGCTGGCACCCCTCGCAATCTGGCCCCTCACGTCCCGCCTAAAAGGACCAAAGACTTGGAGAAAAAGTGGTCGGAACCCTGGTACAGTAGCCGCTGCACGGTAGCGCAGCTGAGCCGCGCAACGGCCGTTCGAACGGTTTACGTTTGAGGTCTCCATCTGGAGCGTGGGCGATCCTGACGACCGTGCGGAGGTGGCAGCAAACTACTTTCATTTTGCTGGAGGGTTCAAGGATGCCGAGGCAGTGGAGCTTCTGCTGCAGATCTTTTCTTCGTGTGCTGGATAAAGGATGGAGTGGAAGTGAGGAGCGATCAGTAGAACTCCCATTGAGAACTCCCATTGCAAGTTCAATTACCTTTGGTGTGTTTGGTGCTGGTCTGGTATATCTTAGTGCTTCAAGAGTATGGGCCTGGTGGGTGTGAGCAGCGGTCTACATCCACTTGGCCACATGCGTGCCCTTCACACGATACATCCGAGGACCTAGGAAAAAAGTTGTTTTCAACCGGGGGACATGGGTAGATGGACTCATGACGTTCGAGTGCTTTCCACTGGGGATGCTGGGAAAGTCATCTATACTATACTCTTCTTCATGGTGGAAGAGTTGCGTGACAGTATTCCATTCTCATAGACTTGGATTTATATTATGATGTTTTTCCAGATGAAAGGTGCATCTATCCTGGAGGAAAGATTTAAACTTTTGATCGCTTCTTGCACTTTTCCTCCACTCCAGGTGATTCCAGGGTGAGAGAAATATGATCAACTGCCCTCACACTATAAGCAACTCAAAATGTTTCGGGAAAAGTCTAACTTTGCTCACATCATTCTCGTGTGAAAATGTCTTGGGTGGCGCTAGGGTCCAACTACTAAGCCTCCATCCATCAATCACAGAAGCAGAACAGTGGTGGAAAGACCTGCCAAAACCATCCAGTTTTCCACGCCCAAACCATCCGGTCTTTTTGGATGCACCGATCCACCCGCCCCACAGATCTCCCCGCGCGATCCGTTGGAATCAGGATCTCTCGCCGCGGAGTGGCGATCCGCTCTTCGTGGTTTCGGCGGTGAAAGCGGCGGCGGCTTGATCGCCGGCCACCGCGGGGACCGCAGCTCGCGGCGACGGAAGAAAGACACGGAGTCGAGAGTGCAGCTGTGGGGCATACACTTCATACTCTCTATCTCAAGTGGGTCAGCAAGTGAGAATTCCCGTTCAAAGTGCTGAAGACCAGTGCTCTGAAGGCCAGGCCTTTGTGCTTCTTCACTCCCAAAAAGGTCGGGACGGCTCTGATGGACCGTCCCTTCCGGTCCCTTGCTCAAGGACCCCTCGGTGGTGTTTGGGGTGGTTTCCGCCAGGCCCTTGCTGAAGCCGGAGATCGTCAAGGTCGGAGAAAGCAGCGTGCCGAGCCCAACTGGGCGGGACGGGTTTGGTGGACCCGAGCTTCGCGAACGGAGTGCTTTTCACCAACACCACGAACCCCGCCAGCACCCACCATGGGGGTGCGATTTCTGACTTCAGCGAGGTATGGAACTCCATCCAAACACGCAGCAACTGGGTGGTGCTGTTGTGAGACACCGCGCATGATTTATTTGTACACTCTGAGACCTCACTGGAAGTAGAGTTCACCACGTGTTTGTAGGAGGAAAGTCGTCTTCCGGTGACCATGCCATCCACGTAACCATGTGATGTGTTCGTCAGAGTGTCGCTACATTGGGGTCTTCCCCCCAACTGGGTCAGGTCCTTCCGCGGTCGGTTCCGCGTCGGGGACCGCACCATGCCGGTCAGCTGAGCAGACCACCCGAGGTCCGATGTTACATGGTGTGGGGACCATGCCATACCTGACCCCGCAGCCGCCGCAGCGATGAACAAACTCATGGATGTTCATGCCGTACTGACACATCTCAAAGCGGAGGACATTCCATTGATGGGTTGGCATTTTCACTTCCTCCCCATCACCTGGTGCCATGTTTTGGGCAGAACATTAAGACATCAGTTGGTGTTCGTTCACCAGAACGTTTTTGCATCAACTGCTTCACGCGGCTAGGACCTCACCCGGCACATGATTTTATGCGTGGCGGCTGGAGTGGTGCCAGCGGCTGCTTGGGCGTTCGTGCTTTCGGGGCGGCTGGAGTGGCCCGAAAGCCGACTCCTTCCGAGAGGTCGGGTGTCGAAAGGCTGTCAGGACACCTGTCTTCCTTTCGGTGTCCATCTCCCCATGTTTGTGGAAGATACTGAGAAGTATCTGTTTGTGAAGGATAGTTTTATAGGGGAGAAGTGTCCAAGGTGTCCATCCCCAAGACGTCCCCATGTGAAGTGAACGGTTTTTTGTGGACAGATACACCCCTGGAAGACTAACATAGAACCTGAAAACCCCTGGTTGGTAGAGGAACATCGTCTTCCATGGGACCAGGACGGACCTGGGTCTATGTGAGTTTTTGTGGGATAGATACTTCTCAGAAGGAGGGTCTTTTGGACCAACTGGGTGGTTTGAACCAGCTGTGGCGATTCAGCTCCCCGGTGACTCTCTGGGTGACTCTCACCCGGCTGGGGGGGGACTGAGAGAGGGACTCTCTGGGCTAAGTGAAAGTCACAGCATATCCAGAACTGGACAAGAATGGATCGTTTTGCCCCGCCTAGAAGTCACCATACCACTTACCATAGGGTAAAATGAGTCATTTGGACTCTTAGGGATGCTGTCTGCTGCAGTCGCAGAATGCGAAACAATTCCAGGTCGCCCAGAGCTGGCATGTCCACGGATCATGCCTGTCACAGAACAAAGAAACTGGCTCGATGGTGTTTCAGAAGTCGATGGCAGTCGGGTGAGTCTGCCCTAGAATATCGCCTAGAAGTCCAAAGACTGTATGTTATTTGGCCACCACTCAAAAGCAAAGGACCTTCTTTTTTGGATCATCTCAAGATGGATTATCTGGAATAACAACGCGTCTCTAACAGACTTCCAGGCGTCTCCCATTCGTCGTCGTTGAGTGCCGCGCTCAGGGCCCCCCGCACGTCCGAACGGTCGGGACGGCGCCCGGGGACAGCGACCGGGACGGCGTAGCGAGGTGCACTTTCTGTCGGCGGCCACCACCAAGGAGTGCCCCGTGCCTTTTTTCTTGTTGCGGTTCGTTTGGGGAAGAGGGGTTCGACCAAAAAGCGGGTGGAAGATGCACCGGCGATGATGTGACATCTCAGGGTCTCCCAAGATCAGTCTTTTTGGTTGGAACAGTAGAGGCCCTCACTGGAATCTCCCAGAGTTTGGGGTCAAAGAAGGCGATCGGGAAAGAAGGCGACCGGGAGTCTTTGTGTGCGTGGTTATAGAGGAATTGGTGTCGAACAACAAGGGAGGTCCTTGGCCAGATGTCATGTTCGTCCGCGCACGTCCCGATCTTCAAAACATGTTCGGCCGCATCGCCTGAACTTCCTCAACGCACGTTGGATGCCGAAAGGGAGATTCCCGGTGTGGTTCCTTGCACTGCGACGTGTTAGTCAGGGAGTGTTGAATACGCGTCAAGTGAGTCAGAGAGGAATGGCCGCAGGGCGCCTCAACTCCAAGTCACATGGAAGCGGAACATGGTCAGGGACGATGTCGGTCTCCACACAGGGTCTGTTGTTTTATCATGTTTTATCATTATTTTATATATTATTTTATATTGCAGTGGTTTCAGAGGCTCGATGGCACTGGCACCCAAAGAAGTCTTTTACAGATCGGGGTCCATATAAGCCACCGATATTGCGGGATTGTGCCACCAACTGAAACCACAGTGATGCGCAAAGCATACTGAAACCATGTGATGCGGGTACCGGGTAGCACGGCGAAAAACGGCTGACACGGCTGGCTCGTTGCCTGTTTTCGCCTGTCCATCTTGGCTGATGGATCTGGGGCGCCCATCAGCCTCAAAGAGATCTGAGGCGCCCGGAGTGTCATAGTCTGATGGGACCACCTCAAGAGATCGCAGGTGTCCTTAACCATCCAGTCGACGACAAAAAACACTGAAAACAGAGGTGTTTGGGACACACTGTGTATAGTCTTTGAGCGAACTGGCTCCTCAAGCCACCAGCTTGACCAAATATATAAACGGATGTTTTCCGACTTGTAACCATGTGGAGAGACTTCCGCCGCTGAAGATCAGCGGCCATGGACGTGAGCTCTCTGCCAGACTCTCAGCTTTCGAGTCACCCTTACCACTCCATCTCCTTTGACCAGCGAGACCACCGTGACGGACACCCCGTGAAGGGGGCGCGCTTTTGTTCTTTTTCACGAGTCGACCACTGCTGAGTGGTTTGCCAAAGGCAAGACGAATGGAGCCCGGAGTTACTCAGCGAGCTACAGCGGGCCGGGGCACCTGGTTTTGGGGAAACAAGTCGCTGGTGGTGCTTTTTGCGACCAGGAACATCCAATGGGTATCCAACGGATGACCAACTACCCGACTACCCTAGACTCTAGTTAGCCATTGGATGGTCCTCGTACAGTTGAAGTTGCTTTCGGTTATGGACCACATCCAAAGGAGCGCAGAGCCGTTTTGGCCCCCTTGTTCGGACCTGTGATGCCGCTCATTGCAAGGGCAGATCTTCTTAAAGATGAGCTTAAAACTCATCAAGCTAATCTTTAGGATGTGTTCAACACACAAGATGTGTTCTTTTCGAACAAGTGTGTGGACGCACAAGATATGTTCAAGCTTCAGCATCAACACACTTGATTGAAAAGGCTTCAGCCTGTGAACAGCACACCCTCCTCGATGCCTTCACTCCGTTCGCACGCCCTTCGCTCCTTGCTCAAGTTCCAGGAAACTGAACGTTCTTGGCAAAAAGTGCGGAGTAAGGATCTTCGCCCACCCAGAAACCTTCGTTCGACCCTCCTCAGAGCGAAGCCGTCGTGAACCTCTGGTGATCGCTGTGAAGACCACACAGTGAAGGGAAGACCACAGAGTGACACTCTGACCGATGTGCCTCCTCTCTGCAAAGAACCCCACGTTTCTTCTTTCTTTGCCATGGCAGCGGTGGGTGTAAACCATCCGGCGCCCTTGAGTGTGGAGTCTCGGCACTGACGTGGACATGGGCCGACATCCCACGGAACGAAGCACATAGCACCCACTGGCAAAAGAATCATCTCCCCTAAGCTATAAGGTTATAGACACACCCAACAAGAATCCCTAATAAGGAGAACACCTTGTAATCCCTATCCAACTAGAGGCCTCCTGGCTTGACCCAAGCAACCGGATGTGCGTTGACTGCTAGAGATGGTGCGGTCGGATGTGCAGTCGGCTTCGAACGTCAGTCGCGCTGCAAAAGGACGAGCGGACGTCGCATCTGCTTGCGCATCCTGGGTGCTTTAGCTGTCACCAGTAGCTTCTTGCTTTGTAGCAATGCACTTGTTCCTAGTAGCGATGCCCTTGTTACTAGCTTCTTGCTACAAGCCTTTGCTCTTTTCCTTACCCTCCCGTGCGGGTCCTTGGAGTCTCCCATCCGTTGAACCCTTGGTACGATCCAAGGATTTGAAAAGCCCTCCAGTGGATGCCTCTTGGACAGAACTAGAGTCGGCTGCCCCCCCATGATAGGAGGCGGGCCCAAAGTTTGCATTCGAAGACACAAATTCTTACGCATTCGAGAAGCATGTGTTATAGATCACGGTCTTGGGTTGTTTGGTTGTGAAGAGGCATGTTCACATCCTTCCCAAGGGGAGTCCAGACGACCAACGCAGAGAAGACCACCAACGCTGCGAAGATCGTGTCTTCCTAACTCCCAACTACCTGAACAAACACTTAAAAGAAGCACACTTCTTCCGCAAAGGTCGTGTCAACACGAGCAGGTCACGTCCACGTGTGAACCCGCGACCTGACCAGTCTTGAGCCATGGGGCGGAGAGTCGAGCGCCATGCAAAAAGCGTACAGGGCATACAGGGCCCACGTGATCCATATGTGAAGACGCAAGAAAAACAGGTCCTGATTGGCAAAAGAACAGGCCGATTCTGCCACAGTTCCACTCGGTTTTGGGTCTAAAGCTCCATTTGTCTGGTACACTTTGGCCTCCTCATCTAGTCTGGGCCCTGTCACTACGGCGAATTCCCCCCGGGTCCACCGTGCGAGCGAGGTGAATGGTCCCATTGACGCCAGAGATATCGAGCTGGTGCAACAGACCTTTGCGCGAGTCGCCATGTTGGGCAGCAACACGGTGGGAAGGCTGCTTTTTATGAACATTTTCAAGCGCCTCAGACACCAAGGGCAGAGTGGGCAGCGAAGGTCCAGGTGGTGGTTGGACATGTTTGTTTGAGACATGGGACATGATTGGCCGGAGTTTGTGGGACATGCATCACTTTATCAGGGCCATCGTCCCACAAGATGGGTGAAGACTCTATGACTCTATGACTTGCTCAAGCACGGCGATGTCGGGCGTAGCAAAGGACACTTACCAGCAGTTACAAAGGGGTGCCATCCATGGAGGTTTGGGGTGGTCATTTATCCACTCACTGGATGGGACTAAACACCACCCCGTCTTGTGACTCCTGGTATACAGTACTTCTAAGAAAAAGCATCAACTGGTCACTCCGCGCACTCTGTTCGATGGGCAGGGCACACGTTTTTGGGTCGCCCATGTCCAGTGCCTTTTCTGATTTTGCACATTTTTGCACTTGATCTGCAGGACATCTCGTTTGTTAATTGTGATATTTGGAGAGCTCTATGAAGCAACCACCAGCACAGACACATCAGTAGCAAAGAAATGATAATCCCCGCATCATCCCTCATCCGCCATCATCCATCTCTCCCACCTGCCATCTCTCAGTCTTCCATGTCTTCTATCCGGTCCTTCACCGCCCAGGATCGCTCCGGGTGCGGTGAAGCTCTTCCCCTTGGCGAACTGCGAGGCCAACATGTGGCGGCCTGGCAGCGCCCTGGAGGCGCCACACGTGGCACAGATCTGTGGGCCATGCGTCGAAAGGATGGCGGGAGCCCATGCAAAAAGCGGTGGGAGTCCTGTCATCTGTCAGAGCTTTTTTACACTGAAGAGTCTCTGACTAGTGTCAACCTAGGATGATTGACACTATCCCGGATCTCAGCTACTCTGAAAGGAACCAGGCTTGTTCTAGTGAGTGGTTCTAGCAGTGGGAGACGTGAATTGGGAGGTGATGTTCGAACGGGTTCCGCACGGCGCCAGGTGCACGTTTTGAAGGTTGTGGAGACGATCGCCACCGCTGTGTCGCTGTTAAAGGATCTAGACACCTTGGCCTCTTAGAGAACAGCGCCACGCCGAGGTGATGGTGGCAGATGGAGAGTGTGTTTCCAAAAGCTGTGGGTGTTTTGGGGTGTTTTTCCCCTCCAACACCAGACATTCGTTTTTTTTGAGACGCACGAACTGTCGCAGTTCAGGATTTGTTCAGCGTGAGACCGGCTCTGCAGGACTGGTCCAAGAGTTTTGGATTGGTCTGAGAAAAAACTTGGTGTCTGTCGGTGAAACTTGAATTGGTTGCCGAAGGACACGTTCATCAGGGCCAAGTGAAGGCCGGGTCAAGACCAGGCTGATTTCCACGTTTTGAGATGCTGTTCATGACCTGCAACGAAACACAAAATAACACGGGTAGTTTTGCTCATCTGGAGACTAGGTCCTGATGGGATGGACACCAGCTGGAAGCACCGCAACACCAATGAATACAATGGCTTTCCCTATCTCCGATTTGTTGAACGAACGGTAGGGCCTGGGGCTTTGGATCACACATCGAATTAGGCCCTACCACTTCGGACCACTTCGTCTTGAAGCGTTTTTCAGAGCTCCAGTCGTTTCTTGCTTTCTGGCCTCCAGCATACCTCAAATCGCACACCTAAATCACACCTTTGCTCTGAATAGTGTAGGATTCGTTGTTTGGGGCAGTTGAGCAACCAGAGGGAACCCCGGTTGGTCCCTCAGGACAGATCACAAGGTTTGCCTGCCCGGTCTCTTCCCTACCTACCTACCTTCCTTGCATCCAATGCATTGATCTTCCGGAGTCTCAGGTCCCAATCCTCCAAGAACTTGGCGCCTTGACAAGCATCGTTTCCATCTCGATGACGAGCGGGTCGCTCTTGACGAACGGGGTCGATGACTCGATGACTCTGGGTCCAACGTCCAACTGAGCAAGCACGTTTTGAACTCAGAACCATCTCTTAACTTGTTTACAGTAGATCTGTTGAGAGTGGGTTGGCATTCTAGCTGGTTTTTGTTGGGTGTAGGCGTGCAAGTTGTAGGGGTTATGCTATCTGGGATTTGTGCTGGTGCAACGTTCTGGCCTTAAGTATATTTGCGTGCTGCTGCTGCTGCTGCTGTTGGTGGCGGTGTCTGTCGTTCTTCAAAGAGCCAACGAAACCCTCTGTCCAAGTTTGACAGTTTTGGCCGGGGAATTGACCACTGTCTTGCTTTTGTTTGGAATGTTTTGGGTCCAGGTAGGTTTAGGACATGTTTGCACACTTGCTATTTATCCGGATGTTCGCACATCTTGGGTCAGATCTCCAAATTACATACCATTTGTTTGCCCATGACTTTTGGAGGTATGCATTTTAGGCAGTATCACGAGCATTTCTTTGATTTACGCCCTTGGGGGTTTCTTTTGGACTTTGGGTTTGCATGGGATTCTTGTCACGATTGTGGAAATTGCACGTGGTCGATATCATGTCCATGTGCCCACCCGGTGCCCTTGGACGATTTGGCCATTTCCTTGAGCCAGACAGCTGCCAGCGGCCAGGATCTCCGAGTGGTGGGAGTCTTTTTCGACCCACCGGTTTCGCCCGGTGTTTGTTCGGTTCCACGAAGTCCCAAGGCTTAAAGCACGTGGGCTACGGGGTGCAGAAGGCGCACTACGATGCTTGGAGAAAGACCTTGATCCCATGGGGGAACTTCATCCTCAAGTAGCCTGGTCCCTACATTTGAGAGTTCTTTCTACTGAACGACGGGCCACGACCTCTCCACACTGCATTGATGCAGCAGAATGCGAGGTTGTTTGCTTCCAGAATGGACTTGACGAGACAAACTTCTGCGATTCGGCAGGTATGCCCTGCCTCCCCCGTTGCCCCTGTTAACAGAGTCCCCCGTAACTTGGCCATGCCAAGTTGGCATGGCCAAAATGGCTTAAGTGATGGGTCATCTGTCTGATAGACTGTTGTGCAAGGTTTGCCCTCGAATTCCAGGACAGCCAATCACGATCTCCCCGAGGACCTAGTCGATCAGTACCAAGAAAACCAAGGAAGGCCAGGAAGCTAGGCTTCAGCAGGTTTAGCACAAGTGGATTCTGAGTCTGTCCCATTCCTACCAAATAAACATATATATATATATATAATAGTATTTTTCTTTTTCTAAAGAGCCCTTTGGGCCTTTGGGCCCTTTCCCCACCATTGTCACTGTCAGTTGTCAGACCGTGCCATGTGGCCTGAAGGCAAGATTGCAGGCCAGACCCATTTATGAGCTCTCCATAGAGGCAAGATTGTAGGTGGCCTCTTGGAAAGTGAGGTTGAGAGGTTCGGTTTCCTTACTTGTTGGCCTCCCGATGCATCCTCGGCCCAAAATCCATAGGACTTCCTTTTGCCAGTTCTTTGACCAATGGTCGACCACCGGCTGCGTGGTGAAACATAGAGCTTGTGGCTTGCTCTTGGAGGGATCGGATTCCCTTGGTTTCCTTTTGTTGGATACAGTATCCATACAGGTACTACAGGTTGTACTTAGCCATCCATTGCATTGTTCGCAGCTTCGCTTTTCGTTCTTGCATTGAGTTGGCTGCCCACTACCAATACTGGTAGCGGAGCCTCGTCCAGAGGCTCCCTACCGGGATTGGTGCTGGCTGATCTTGGACAGGTGTTGAAAACACAGACCTCGTTGGGTTCAGTTGGCTGTGCACGGTCCGGAGTTGGGACCAGATCCAATCTTGGACGACCGGAATTTGTTTGATTGAATTTACATTGTGCATTGTGCATTGGTGGCTTGATTCTATGACAACAGTTGAGCGAAAGGAGCACATAGCAACTTGGGATGGTGACGCCTCACGTTGGTTGGACTACGTCAAGCGTGTTCGCCTGCAGTATGAGGGAACTGAACCGAAGAAGCGTTGTTTGCTTGGAGCTGAGTTGGCAAGCCGCCTGACCGGCAAGGCATGGGACATCACCTCGGCTGAGGTGGACCACAGTCGACTACAGCGTGCTGACGGAGCAGCTTACTTGTTGAGTTTTTTGGAAGAGCGTTTTTGCAAGACCCCAATTCCTGATGTTGGCCAAAGGTTGGAAGAGTTTTTCATGAGATTGAGACGACAACCAGGAGCTTCCATGACCGAGTGGGCTACATCATTGAGGGAGTCGTATAGACGCCTCCAAAGGGCGATGGCCCGTCAGCGACAGCAAAACCGAGTGCTTCATCCCCGAGCCCTGCACAAAGGTCTGACAGGACTACACCTCAGGCCAGACGAGATGCACCGACCTTTCCGGACATCCCGGAGGAAGGTTCCCATCCCGGAAGAGCTGGACAAGACCAGGAGACCCAGGAAGAGCCCAATGACCGTGAAGGCTATGAGGAGCTTCCACAATCAGAGCATGGTTGGTCCGAACAACGATGGACAGCTGACGAATGGCGCCAGTGGAGGTGCGACCGCTGGCAGAGAGATGATGATGACACATCGTCGCAATGGTGGGATCAAAAAGAAGAGACCATTCGTTGGGAGCAATTTGAATTTGGTGAAGTGCAGATCCTTCCCCAAGAGATTTTGGGATGGTTGTTACTCCGTAGGAGCGGACTTCCAGCATCTGCCCGCCTTTCAGTTTTGAGTGCCATCAACAATCGGCTTGATTTGGACACCATGGAGCGCGCAATGCGTGACCAGGAGTAAGAGCTTCTTGTTACGGAAGCCAACCGGAGTCGGGGCGACTTGCAGCGCCCACGTCGTTCGTTTTGGATCGAGCAGGATTCACAGTGGGGTTTGTTGGGTGATTTGGAAACAGAAGAGGTTGATGAAAGTTCCGTTTATTGGGTGATCGCTTGCCCCAAGATGTTTACCCTGTTTGGGAAGACCCTTCTCCAACATCCACGGCATGGAGCACATGGGCCCCGGACGGACAAGAGTTGAGTTGGCAGTGGATGGACGATGATATTTATGCTCAGGACTCCGAAGGCATTTTCTGGTCCTGGACAGAAACCAAGGTGGATGGATGCTGAAGAATGTGCTCAAGCCACTCCGAGTGATTCAGAAGCCATCTTTTCGGCTTTCGCAGCTTTTCAGGACAAGATGAGGTCCTTCAGAGATAGTCGGATAGTCGAAAGCTCAACTATGCCAAACAGCACTCTAGAGGTTTTTACCCTTTTTCCATGTTCGAGGGAAAGTCGAAGGGTAAAGGAAAGAAGGGTAAACCAAAGGGTGTTCAAGCATCTCCATCGAGCACCTCATTGGCATAATTTCCAGAAGGGCATGGGATCCTCTGGCTCCACCCAACGACCTGGACACCCTGAATACAGAGGTTGCTTCATTTGCGGCAGCAAGGACCATGACTTCCGCGACTGCCCAAACCGGAGAACTGATGCTCCATCCACGAATTCTTCTTCTACCCGGCCAAACTACTTCTCAAACCAGATCTTTGTTGTCCTGCCGGTCGAGGAGAATGAGCCGGAGGCCATGACGGCCACTGAGGACACCACGGCTGCACCGTGGCAGTCGAGTTTCCTGGCCACGCAGTGATCGATCTTGGGGCGACCAGAGTCCCTAGCTTCCCTTGAGGCCTTGGAAGAGATCATGACCCTTCGCCTGCAGCACTTCGGCCATGAAGAAATCGTTGTTCATGAAGAGACCAAACGATTCAAGGTTGGCAACGGAGATACACAAAAGGCCACTTCCTTCATCGAGCTTCCACAGACCATCGATGGAACGACCTTGACCTTGGGAGTGCATGCCATCGACGCCCCAGGAGTTCCTTTGCTGCTGAGTGTCCGCACCTTGCGGAAGATGGGTGCCATCATCGACACTGAGAGTCGAACCGCATGCAACTCCGTAGGTTTTCTGATGCTTGGACTCCTCTCAAGCAAAGTGCCAACGAGCACCTTCTTTTGGACATGACCCGAGACTGGTATCACCTTGATGAGCCCTCCGTGTCCGCCGGAGCGTATATGGAGCTGTTTGACGGACCAGAGTGGGACATGTGGCCAGACGAACGTGTTTGTGAAGAGTCTTTGCTTTAACATCAGCATGATGCACTACCAGTTCATGACATGTCCATGCGTGAGAGTGAGGAGTTTGCCACTTTGCCACCCCAAGTTTTTTGTGAGAGTCTTGAAGAAGGTGAGTTGATTGACAAGAGCGTGACAGAGTTCACACCTCCGGATGACACTTCCAGCTCAAGCATGCACTTTGGCGCAAAAGCCCTTCTACCACTCGCCGCAGCCTCGACTGTCCTCCCATCTGTGCGCCATGGCGTCCTCTCATCCCGAGCAGACCAAGCTGAAGACCCAAGGAGAGATGCTCAAGGAGGCTGCGGAGAACAAAGCCCGCGCGGAGAAGGCCAAATCAGCTTCCCGCAAGTCAAGGAAGGATCGAACTCCAACAGTCGAGAAATACGATTTCTCGAGGGCGACGGGTCCTGTGTCGGACGACCCAAGGGCACGGGGCTTTCCATGCTATGGCAATCACCAGCCAATGCCTCCGGGCAGAGGATCTTTGAGTGGGAGGAACAAATTCGGAATGTGGACGGTATGCGAACGCTGCCGGCTCAGAACAGAATACATCCCAGCGTACGGAGCGACCGGGATTTACAGGCAGGCAGGTCCACTGCCTCCACATATGCACCGTGACCGAGACCATCGACTCAAAACGCCTGGAGGAAGAGCCGCTCTACCGGGAGAACCTGAATGTGAAGTCCATGGCCAGACCGGGTCGGAGGAATCCCTTCGCAAGAAGCTTCAGGAGTTGGAAGCCAAGAAGGCCAAGAATCCACCTCGACTTCGTCCCGGCGGCTACAAGCCGAACGATGCGGAGATGCCTGCAACGCATGCCTCAGCGGCCAAGGAGACCCAGCGAGTGACACCCGATCAGAAGAAGGCCGTGAAGAGGGAGAACGACCAAGGTGGCGAGGAGACCGAGGCATGGTCAGTGATTTCGATCGCAACGCCTCCGGAGAGCGGCGGGAGTGCCGCTTCACCGTGAACACCAACGACCTTGACCGCTATAAGTCGACCCCGGACGGCGACGTCCTCGATCACACGATCCCGGACAAGGACTATGATGGTGAGCCAACAAGAGTTCCTACATGGTGTGGTGGCGGAGTTTATGGAGGAGGTGCGTGCTGCTTGAAGAGATCTACTACCTCCCCAAGATGGAATTGATCTGTTGGAGATCTGCTCCCTCCGGATTTTCGTCTGACCAAGTGTTTTTGGATGCCGGTCGGACAGCTATGAGAGTTGGACACGACCTGTCCAGCAAGAAAGGTGTCTTGCAAATCAAGGAGATGATCAGTTGCTGGAAGCCGAAAGTTGCTTGGTTCTCACTTCCGTGTGGACCGTACTCGCCAATTCAGGAACTCTTCAATGAGAAAGACGAGAAGGCCATGCAGAGGAGCTTGGAGAGAAAGAAGAAGTCCAAGAAGTTGATTAAGAATGGCCTGGAAGTGGCGACGCATCAACTTGAACGTGGAGGTGAAGTCGCCTGGGAATGGCCTACGAACAATCGTGGGTGGAATCTTCAACCAGTCCGAGCATTTTGGCAACGACTGGAATCCTCAGGTGACCTACATGTCGGAAGAGCTGACGGGTGCGCCTTCGACGTGAAAAATGAGAAGACAGACCTTCCTATCAAGAAACCATGGACAATCAAGACAACTTCCAAGACCTTGGCACAGGCAGTCTCGAGAACCTGCCCTGGACACCTTGTTCATCCTGAACATCAAGAATGTCTTGGAGGAGGTTTGGCCAGAAAGTCCGGTTTCTATCCAAAGAAGTTCTGTCAGGCTGTGCTTCGAGCAGTTCGAGAGATGACTGATGTCGGAGCTCAAGGTGTACTACCAGCCTACCCCGTCTTCGACACCCGTGACATGGACATCGAGGAGAAGGAGGTGAAGAAGAAAAGAGTGACACCACTCTCCGAAGCGGAGAAAAAGGGTGTTGAGAAGATGCTCGGGCGATTGCGCAAGAGGACCGGACATCCTTCCAATGCTGCCTTGAGTGGCTGCTTACGCCACAGAGGAGCTCACCCTGAGGTCATCGATATGGCATCACGCCATCAATGTCCCGAATGCCAAGAGCTGAGAGCAGCGCCTTTGAACCCAGCGCTGTCCATAGAGAAATCAGAGATGCTTTGGGAGACCCTGGTGATCGACAACATGGAGTTCACCGTCTCTGAGACCACATATCACTATATGGCCATGATCGACGAGGCATCACGCCTTCTATGCGTTCATCCCCTGTTTGAACATCCTCAAGAAGCATCCCGCAATGCAACTGCCGAGGAGGTGATTTATGGTCTGATGCACTATGGCCTTCCTGGCAAGCTGCGCATGGATCCCGAAGGAGCCTTCAGGTCGACAGCTTTATCCACTTGGGCTGATGAAAGAGGAGTGGAACTCCTACCATGTGCTGCTGAAGACCACGGCCAGATTGGTGTGATCGAAAGGGCGATCCGCACTTTGAAGAGCGGCGACGCTCATCCCTGGCAAGCTATTGCACATGCGTGTCAGGCCCACAACCAGTTTGAAAGAGTTGAGGGCTACAGTCCATATCAGTGGGCATTCGGCAGGCAGCCGACTTTGACAGGCCGCATGCGTGACTCCGACCTTGACATGCCCTATTGGACTTCGGTGCAAGTCCCAGGCTCGAGCATGATGAAAAATCTCAAAATTCGAGTCCAGGCACAACAAGCTTTCCTTCGACACCAGTCTCAGGAGCTGATGAGCAGAGCGAAGAACGCCAAGACGAGGCGACACCAGGTCTTCTTGCCAGGAGACCTTGTTTTCTTGAAGAGGGTGAAGCCACCGGCTCAATCTCAAGCACATCTTCGTCTACCTCACAAACTTTGGAGGTGGTACGGCCCTGCTCGAGTCCTGGCCTCAGAAACCAGGACGGACGCCAAGGGCATGGAGAGAAAGCCGAGCAGCATCATCTGGTTGGTTTCGCAAGGCCGTTTCAAACGATGCTGTCCAGAACAGCTGCGACACGCTTCCGCTCGAGAACAGGCCATTGCGGAAGGCATGAGCTCTCCTACTACCACCTGGACGTTCCACAGCCTAGCTCAGAGCCGATGGAAAGGAGAATATGAAATTCTGGATGACTATGTGCTGCCAGAAGACATCGTCTCCCAAGGAGCGCCAAAGACGCCCAGAAGGTCCCGCTCTGTTGGCCCTGAGGTCCCATCTACACCGGCGACTATGAGGTGAAGTTCATCGGTTCCTAGGTTAGGAGTTGAAAGGGCCCGAGAAGATGCCCAAGAAAGGACCCGAGAAGATGTCCGCCAAGAAAGTGAAAAGACCCCAACAAGACTTGTGAAAGAGACATCTGGCGATGGAGGGGCACATCAGAGAGCCAAGATGTCAAGAACAATAGAAGAAATGGAACACATGACGCTTGAGGAAGCGTTTAATCCCCCAGAGAATACGCCCCCAAAACCAAGGAACCCTAGGGGATCATCTTCCAGCGGGATCCAAAGTGAACCTCGCTCAACGGGCGTAGATTTGGGACGCTTGATTAGCGACCCGTCGTACGAGCCGCAACCCATGGCGACTGGAGAAGGCCGCAAGTTGCCTGAGCTTTTCGAGCAGCCTCTTTTCAAGAAACAGAGGCGTCAGCACGGTGCTTCAGACGACGAGCTGCTGGCCACTTCATTCCTGGCTGACGATGGCTCATTCCGCAACCCGAACTTGGCTTGCGCCATTGAGCTGCCCCTACCTTCGAGATCTTCCGAGTGGCGATCTTTGAAGAGAAATGCAGAGGCATACTTTGTGAAAAAGCCCAAAGGTGTCGAAGTCAAATGGCACGAATTGAGCGAGGCCAAGAAAAGAGAATTTGCAGTGGCAAAGCAAGCAGAAGTTTCCCAATGGCTAGCCGCCTCAGCCGTGAAGAAGGCCATCGGACCCATTCTCGAGACAGATTGGTCCGTATGCGATGGGTTTTGACCCACAAAGAAAGCGGCGCAGCCAAGGGATGCATTGTCCTCATTGGCTATGAAGACCCTGCCGATGCTTTGACGAAGCCGCTGCCCCCTGGCGTGCTTCAGAAGTCCTTGATTGAAGGATCATGGACGCTTGGCTACGACCCTGACTTCACAAGCGCGAAGAAACTGCGCAAGAAGCAGGGCATGTCCGATGGTGCGACCTGGGATGCATCTCACGGCCAAGGCTTTTGGGGCATCTTGGAAAGTGAGGTTGACAGGTTCGGTTTCCTTACTTGTTGGCCTCCCGATGCATCCTCGGCCCAAAATCCATAGGACTTCCTTTTGCCAGTTCTTTGACCAATGGTCGACCACCGGCTGCGTGGTGAAACATAGAGCTTGTGGCTTGCTCTTGGAGGGATCGGATTCCCTTGGTTTCCTTTTGTTGGATACAGTATCCATACAGGTACTACAGGTTGTACTTAGCTATCCATTGCATTGTTCGCAGCTTCGCTTTTCGTACTTGCATTGAGTTGGCTGCCCACTACCAATATGGCCTGAAAAAGATATGCTGGACACATCTAGCTTTCATGATGGCAATGGCAATCATGTGATTTCGCTTCAACAAAACACACATGAAGGGCTTCACCCCATGATGTCCATGTCCCAATTTCTGTGTCCTCGATTTCAGTGGAACGCTGAGGATGTGGTTGGCCAGGCCTTAATCGCGACACTTGACGTGACATTGGGCCGCCACTTTACCGAGCCGGTGGCTCGACTGGGGAGGCCGAGGAAGCCGTGACCTCCAGCATTAATGTATTACTATATAGCATTATATATATATATATATATACTTATTATGATGTATTACATATATCACTATGTATATATTATGCTTATTACTTATTACCAGTACTGTTATTGTTATTGATTACCTGCTGACGGTCAATAAGGGTTGGTTTGGGACAGGTCACTTTGCCAGACATGTCCACTGCTGATCAGTATTATTTGCTTCTCATGACGGTTCTATTTTGCCTCTTGCGGCAAGGCACCAGCGATCCTTTGGTGTTTTCTGTTTCTGTGTTCAGCAGAACTGGAATCTGCACGCCAAAACAAACGACGAGGCAGGGATCTCCATCAAAGTGAGCAAACACGGATTCAGGCGTGTCGACCAGGTCGCCCACACGTACCGGTGGAGCCCCTGGTTTCGGCTTGTACTCGGGTTTTGTCTTGGTGTAGAACACTTCACCTCGTGGGGATTGCGTGCCATGGTGAGCCCGAGCAGCTCTGGCGTAACAAAGGCACCGGGACTTCCCCGGAAGGCGCCCAAAGCACCACAACCGGCTCTCAGCGCCGGCCTTAACGCAGGCTTGTCAGCCTTTTCGGTGGCGGCGCACGGAACATGACAGCCCTACCTGGGTCGACGTAAAGCAAACATCAGAGGGACATGACGGTCCGGTTGCTTCTGGCTCACATGTGTCTCTTCATTTTCCTGCCCTGTGTGCCATGTGTGCGGAACATTGTGCAGTTGGCTTTGGTTCCTCCGCGCGCCCCACGTTGCTGTCCTTCCGGGAATGGTGCAGGTTTCCATGCGGCGAGACTGGTGGGGCTACAGCCGGCTGTGTTCGCCATGCTCCGGAGCATGGCGGCTCTTCCTTTCGTGGCAGCGGTGTCACCCGAAGGTGTCTCCTTTCGGCGGAGAGACCGCGTCGGAGAGGCGGCTTTTGGGGTTGGTTCTGCGACGTGAAGATGAGAGAGATGGCAGATCCAGCGTCATGTCGAGCAAGCCACATCAATTTTTTAAACTCGGGACTTGCTCGACCCCATGCCAGCAGTCCAACAGTTGGAGTGCATCTCGCTTGTGTCGATCGTGCGGTGGAAGGGAGATCGACGAAATTGACCATTCGTGCCGTTGCTAAACTATAGTTATCAGTCTTCTTAGTATCATATTATAGTACTGTTATTGTTCTTATTTTTGAAACTTTTTAATGCTATATGAATATGTTGTTTCATTTTTCGGGTGGCATCGGCGGCTGAGATGGGACATGGCAGTTTTCACTTCAAGAAGAGGACAGGAACACCTCGAAGGCGTTCACGTCCTTTGGAGTTCTCTCCTCAAGCAGACAGTCCAAAAGTAAATAATTACGATTGAGAATCTTGTGCGAATTGAAGACAACTATGGACTATATGGACTACTATAGGTTCTCTGGACAGAGAAGAATAAAGGAGGGTCAACTAACTGCTCTACCTGGCGAGGTATTCTTTGTTTTGCATCGGTCGTCTCGATGAACCCGCCAAGATTCCCGGAGCCACTTCTACGTTAGGGGAGAATTGTTCAATAACATTGGTCGAAGATGACCACATCCCCTAATCCCCTACGTCATCCTTGATTAGTTGTGGGTAGGCAGCTCATAAGAACCCATCTGCCTGGTATTTTTGTTGGCGCTTCATGGGAGTGTTGCCCATTGATGCCTTTGCTTGGTTTGTTCTGCTTTGGAGTGAAACTGCTAAACAAGATGATAAAGGCGTGAAGACAGACAGTGGTGACACTCAGGACACTTTCATGAGCAGCACCTCAGCACATCCTGCCCCCCCATTGCACTTCTCAAACATGCGGGGTGCATTTTCTCTCTTGATTCTCCAGTCTCACTCATTTCATGGCTGGAGGAGTGAAGGCCTAACCCCATCGCCTTCGGATCCTTCGGCCCGACACGGGATCCACCAAGGTGAAGAACGCCTACTTGAAGGTGGCTTGGACAACGAAACCACTGGACTGCGGCGTGGGAGTTCTGCGGAGTTCGGGTCATGTCATGTCTTCTCGAAAAGATCGCCCCCTGCCGGTCTCGCCAGACCAGCTGACATGGTCCCTTGGGGAAGACCAGACCCATCCTGCCATGGGGAAGAGGTGTGTGCAAGACATCCTGACCCGCACGGTTTCGGAAAGAAGGACGACTTGGCCAATGTGTTTGGGCAGCGTTTTGGGGATTGGCCAGTTGCAGGGCGAAATGGGGGTCTTTATCCATCGATGGGGAGAGGAGCTGCTGAGGAAAACCGAGCGCCAATGAGGTGGACGAGTGGGCGATTGTATCTTAGATATGCGTTGTTGGCAGAAGACCTGTTTTTTAATGGAGTGTCCGCCCGACTCTCATCGCTTGAATCCGGGAATGTCACACCAACGTGCTTCGGTGGGTGGGAAGCTCCATCGGACCATGTCCCTTCTGGGAACCTCTGGGACTTTTTCACATGAGTGAGGTGTGGACAGTGATCAAAGACACCATGATCTCTGACAACTACAAGTCCTGAGAGAATAGCCGCCGCCCAGCTGATCGAACCTACTATGTATATATATATATATATAATGCAGCATCTACCCCCAAGTCTTACTTCCTGCAGGCGCCTGAGTATGGGTCCCTAAATGATCGTCCTTTCTGATGTGGGGAGTGGCTCGAGCGACATGAGAACGGTGAGTGACATGCTGTAATCATTGGACGTCTTCGTTGAGGGGAAGTGGGAAAGACTTTCTGTCGCCATGTGCTTTTGTCAAGCCTCGGAATGGGCAAACGGAGAAAAAAAGAACCTTTTCACTTCACATCAGGGAGTTCTGGGCCCTATCATCTGATCACCTCCGAATTTCAGCCATGCACGCGGCAACTCATCAGACTGGATAGGGGATGCCCTTGGTTGGCTGATTCATAGAGGGGATTCCCTCATTACAACCACTAGGTATATGGTACCTGGCATCCCAAAAGGACATCTTTGTGTGGAATCTCTCATCTCTAGTAGCTTGGAGGCCATCGCTATTAGGTTGGAGGCCACTACTATTAGGTTGAAGGCCATCATAGTGTGGAATCTATTGTCATTCCTATTCTTATTATGACTATATATATATATATGTATTAGTATATGTATATATTTTCCTTTTTTTGTCCTTTGACTTAGGTCTCCAAAGAATCCTGTGAACATCATCCCTCCTCTGAATGATACCCCAAACGGTGTGCCTCTCACGTTGGGGTTGACTTTCTCCATTGGGGGCCACCCGAGACCTGGGCCACCCGAGACGGTATGTTCCACACTTCACACAGAGACAGATGCTCCCTGGAGCTTGAGACAGAGTCCCTGTGTGTTTTTTTCTGTGTCTAAATTGAAAAACAATGTGAATAATTTGTGACCTCAAAACAGGAGTGCGATCTCACGTGCGCAAATCATTTTGACCAGGCAAACGTGTGAAACAACTGTGGAAACCTTGATTCGATGTTTCGCTTTATCTCTCGTTTCTTTGATACTACTATATAGTTGAAATAATGATATAAAGTCAATTCTTATAATTCTTATATACATGTTTCCGTATTTGTTCTTCAAGGACCGTATCCTTGTTCAAACATCCGTCCACATCAGTTACTGTCATCATGTGCCTTGAGCGTAGTATGTCTCATCTTCGACTTAGACATGCTCTGTGTGTCACCCTTAAGTCTGGTCGAAGTTCACACCCAAAAACCAGGTGTGTGAACTTTGAGGGATTCTTGTTTTTGGTGTTTTTTTTTGGCAAACGATCGTTTTTACCCCAACATCCTTTCATCATATTCTATGCATTCCATGAATATAAATATAAATATATAAACAAATAAACATAAATATACTTACACTAATGATTCATGATGGCCAATACCTGTGATGACATCCATCAAGTCAAAGCGTGCAAAGACGGGAACTTGAGCGGAGAGATCCCTTCGCCCTCGATCAGCCTATTTTCAACCCACCGAAAACGCGCGGGTGACTGGTGGCCTCCCAGTCCTGCTCTGGCCCTGGCCCTTTGGATTGGAAAAGGCGGTTCCAACCATGCAGGACCGGTGGGGTCTCTGTTCGTGCGTTTGGTGCATGCCAACTGGCCCAACCGTGCCAATCTTGTGGCTATACAATCTGATCAGCAAGAGGAAGGTTGTCTCAGAATCATGCAAATCAAGACCCCCAACCAAGTGGTTTTAGTCCTTCCGGCCTTCCGTCCTTCCTTCCTTCCGTCCGTCCGTCCTTCCTGCCTGCCTGCCTTCCTTCCTTCCTTCCTTCCTTTCTTCCTTCCACAAGCACACTGAGTTTGAGTGCGCATCGGATACGGCACAGGCTACATAAAACACAATAAAGAAAACACACACGCATATATATATATATATATATACACACACATACACATACATATAAATATACATGTATACAGTCAGTGTACATGTGCGCCGCAGCCTTGCAGAGCTATGTTGGGGTTTGACAGACCTATGATACACTTCGGTCTTCCGTGAACGATTTCCGTCCTGGCATGGTGGCAGCCACGCGTCCGTCTGTCGTTGGAAATAGACGTGGAGCAAGAATCAGGACTTGCAAAGAGGCCATTGAACAGCTGACAAATGGGTGGCCCCACAACTAGATAGATTTGAGTGAACCCGACAGCTCGAAATGATCTTGGAAGCGAATAGGCTCTCTGATGTCCTGGAGATCTGATCTGAAGATGTCTGTTTTGCGAGTAGATTGGGACAGGTTCCATCGTCCAGCGTGGTGTCAAGAGGCTCACGATGGCTGTGGTCCTGGCAGCAGGGGTCAGTCTAGGCGCCCGCAGACGGAGTTCGTTCACAGTGCAACGGACTGGAAGCCCTAGAAGTCCAATTCTTCTTCAGCGTCATCTGAAGACAATTTCTAGCTGAACCCCCGCAAAAAGCGCTCAAACCAGTGGCCGCAGTCCCGCCCCTTGTCCCGCAGTCCCGACGGCTTCGACGGACCCATAAACACCGTCGGCTTATCCTGGCTTCTTTTTTCTGAAAAAAGAGGGATCCTTCAAGAAAGAATGCTTTTTAGGGAGACACACTCACACACATGATATAACTATCAAACTTGAATGCACCCTGCATATCCCTGCATTCTTGTTCACGTTTGGCCGGACACATCCTCAAATCCTCTTCGGGTTTCCCGACCACCGTGAGATCCTTGTACGCCGATGCACGCAACCCTTGCGCTGTACGCGCGCGAAGCGCGCGACGCTCGCCCGAATGGCCGAGAGCTGAGTCGCACGCGGCGCACCAAACGGTGGCCGTGAACTGATCGTTCTCCGGCTAAGACATGTCCTGACCGCGCGTGGAGCAGGTAAAATGGGGGGGTTCGAGGATTAGATGAACCTTAATGTTGACTGTGGATGAATCAAGCCTCTACTAGGGTGGGGCGAATGTCTCTAAGATGCTTCCAAAAACCGCCCTGGGAGGGGAGGATCTCCAGACGGACCCGTTTGCGGCGACGGTGGACTGATGAACTCTGCGGATTCGCATGGCGACAATGGCCCAGAAGAAGCTACACTGAAACTCCCCTGTGATGTGTCTCAGACCGTCCCCGTTCCGCCCGGCCTCGCCCATCGCCCGTTTCCCGGAACGACGAGGCGGTGCCCGTGCTGGAGAGTGGCTCCCTGGAGGCCATGGACCGGCCATGCTGCGACCCCCATGGTCCGATTTCGACCAAGCCGACGTGGTTTTGGGGTTTCATGTGGCCCTCTGCAGGGCAGTATATATATATATATGTATTATGTAATATATATATATATAATATATATAATATGTAACTTAATCAATTCACAGACACAAATATCCTTTTTGACATGCTTGGGGTCTCTATACTGCTGGTGTTGTTAAAGATAGTGTATTCACCCCGGAAAGGAAGGACGTGCGCGCCTGAAGCGGCGCATCGTTTTTCTTCGTCCACCCGTGACCAGGTGGCCGGTGGTACCTGGCCGGCAGGCCGATCCGGTGATGGCATTTACGGCGGTGCTGCTTCGCCGTTTTGCGGTTGCATGCATTGACTCAAAGCCATCCACAGGGCCTTGGAGTGATTCAATGGACTTGAAGCGTCAAATGACACCTTTTGGCTGATCCTGCGGACATCTGGACTGAAAGCACTCGGGATTGGAGTTGAACCTGACGTACGTGGATCCATCGTCGTTTCCCTATAGGCGGATCCTTTGCCACAGCGCAGACGGGCCTGGGGGCCCAGACGCACCTGAGATTGCGGCGAACAGATGTACGGTGGGCCATCAGAGGCGAGTTCGATGGCACAAGGGCCCCCAATGTCGGTGGTTGATCTGGACCCCCATCGGTCAGCCGACGTGCCAGTGCCATTTCTCGCCTCTGATGGCCCACGTCGTATCACCTCTTCCAGCTTCAGGCTGTGAACTGTTTGGAGTCCCGAACTTAAGTTCAGGCCTGTTGGTGACCTCAAGCCAGGGGATCAACAGGTCACTTGGAAGAACCAGGTTAAGATCTATTCGGTAAGATACAGAGATTCCCGAGATCAAGAGACTCAGAGACTCCTAGAATCTCATGCATGTTGGCAATGAAGATGTTCCGTCGCCGGTAGACATCGACCTCAAAAAGAGAAAAGGCACCTTTCGAGCGCCACGAAATCAGGTGGATCCAGGCTGCCTGGGACGGCCAATCGGGTGATCACCAGGCTATGACTCGCGGTCGACCGATGCAGTGCTTCGGCACGACCGATGCCCGGCGCTTGGGCGGGGACTGAGGTGGTTTGCGGTGGAGCGCCTGGGCCCATGACGCCCGAGGCCAGGGGCCAGGGGTCAGAGAGGGGCTTCAGCGGTTGCGAAACGGCCAAAGGATTCTTTCGTCAAAGCCTGGCGAGATGGAGAGCTGGGAAGAAGTCGGTTTTTGGGGTGGACGGCTGTCGGCAAGTTGTTTCATGTTTTTCACTGGAGGGTGACCTATATAAGAATCCCCTCTTGTGGACCCATGCAGCAGCCGAATCCAGGTTTGGATGAAGGAACTCTGGTGAAGCCGGACATCCTCTCCGTCGGGAAAGCCCAGCAAGTCATTCTCTTCCTTCCGAGCACAGTGGAAATAGGAGCAGGCAAGCGGTTGGATCGCATGACCCAATGTAAACCACAATCCCGTAATGCCCGAATGGCTTGCACACTGAAAGTTCCAAACCAAGCAAAATTCACCCGTTCAGAGAGCAACTTTGAGTCGCTAAGTCGTCAGAGGCACCCGCTGCTTTGTAATGACATCGATGTTCCCAGCAGCTGCGAAAGGAAGCAGCTGCTTGGGGAAGTCGACTCCACACGTTGGATGGCCATGCTGAGGATAGTGCCATGGCCTTGCCCATGAGTCAAGGACTCAGGGAGAGTTAGGGCCGGAGCTACCAGGGTGCGGCATAGGGTGGCTTAATGACTCAAACCTCCTCCTCCTCCTCCTCCTCCTCGACTCGTATGCATATTCCTCCAAAATTCGCTACCCGAAATGCTGGGGACGACCTCGACCTTGTAGCCG